GACGACAACTTGCAGCAAGTCTGTTGACAACTTGCAACAGACTTGATATTATCAAGCCGGAGCAAGTGATGCGGACGCATCCTGATATCTGCCGCAGAACTGCTGCTGCTGCTGCTGCTGCTGCTGCAACTTGCGCGTTTCTGGCTGTGTACGGAACATTACGTTTGGCACTCCAGATGCAAATCAGTACGCTACGCCTACGGTAAATTTGCTGCAGCGTCATAGTGTAAAGCCGGTTTTCCACTTCAAGCATACCGTACCGAAACGTATAAAAAAGTTTTTAAATTTCAAAATTTCGGGAATATTGATTGGTTAGTACTTCCGTAGTACGCCAAAAAGTTGACTTGCGACGAACTTTTTATTTTGATACGCGAATACATCCAGAAGTACGTATGGTTTTATAAACATCTTTTCAATCTGCGTATGCTCATCAGTACTTTTCGGTACGATACGGGCGAAGTGGAAAACCGGCTTAAACGCGGCCTAATTCCTCGAAATACATTGTTAAGTTTCCTTCCGGTGCAATTCTGGGAACAACATTGTTGTGTTAACGTCGCTTTAACCTTAGCAACCTTATTCTCGTCAGTGGTTTTCAGATTTCAGCTGTAAAAACATCCTTAGAATTTGACATTGTTTTATCTTGGAGTAAAAGAAATTGCCAAAGGTAAAATTATATATTATATATGTTTCTATGTATTAATGATGAGAAAAATCGTAAATATCAGTAAGCGAGACGTGCACGAATGCTATAAATGTTGAAGCAATTATATGGAAATTGTTAGTAACCATTTATATAACCATACGCAAAGTATGTTTTCTTTGATTTCTTATGCAATACTGTAATTATGGTTTATGAATCATTAACTATATAAAGTGTTGAACAGTTGTGTTTCCGGACCGAATATTAAGGGCCAAGTTACTATATCGAGGTAGGCTGTGTTGACTAATAGGCTAGTTAGGAAGTTCAGATTATTCATTTGTATAAAGATGAATTCAAATCATGTGAATTTCCCAAGGGAAAATTGTCAAATTCACCTTATTTGAATTCACTTACCCAAATGAATAATCTGAGCTTTCAGCTTTTGACTTGTTCGAAATTATGTGAAATAAATATTAAATTTAGGGATTTCCCTTTTGCGTAGGGAACAATTATAGCTGTGTTTACAATGCAGTTTCGACTTGGCTGAATAATCTAGTCGACCAATTTAGTAAAGCAAAACAGCCAAGTTACGGCAAGCTATTATGTAATATATGAACAACGAGAGCGAGTGTTTCACTGGGATATCCAAACACGAGAAAACAGGAGACGTTACAGAATGTTTTAATTTGCTGATTTGAATAGAATTCTTAACCAAGCATAACGTAATTAGGAATTCTATTCAAGTAATTTTGCATGCGTCATTAAGATATTTGATAAAAACACCAGTGACTTTCATCAAATATCTTAATTACGTATGCAGCTAAACTCTTGTGGTGCTGTGTCTGACGGTGTTGACCGCGGGTACTTTTTCTCCAATGAATAATTAACTGGCGGGTTTTTATACTTCACGATTTTTTTAAAAAAAATTATATTTTAGCATTTGTTGCTGTGTTTACACTAAATTTATTCCTAATACTTTCTCAAATTCATTAATAATTCATGAGCAATTAAACCAATAGCATGTAAGCATTCCGTCACAAGATGCTGTTTGGATCTGTAATAGCTAATTTAAAAATAGTTTGTACGCTTTTAATCAATAAATGGAAAGTGAAAGACGCTTCATTCTTCCTGGAATTTGACCGGCTTTTAATTGTAACTCAGCGGTTCGGGTAGCCACACACAGCGTAAACTATTAAACTCAAACTGTCTGTGTCAGCGTAGGTACATATAGTGATAATAACACCAGAAAGCTATGGATTGGGATTCAGTTATCTGCAGAAAATACAGGTACAGTAAAACTTCGATGTTTCGAGAGACGGCCCTTTATCGAGAAGTTAGTGGTTCAATGATTGTGTAGAAGCATCTCAACCTTCTCTTCCTTGTATATGGTAAAATAGTTTGAACTTAAAAGGTGATTATTTAATCTAAACTTCGTGTTCTCCGATCATACTGCTGAACTGCATTGTATTTGGTAAACGATATTATAGACCTCCGTGATCTTTTTAACTAAGGCACTCTTTGGTAATGTCTTTCAGTTCCACTGAGCAAACGTTCATCGAAATTTCTCTTGCAAGAATGAGTACTATAATATGGCATGTCATATCAGAACAATCGAGAACGTGACTTTAGAAACGGTGTATTTGATAATTGTTTAATGCTTTCTTTGCGTTAACACATACAACGACATTGCAAGTCAATGGCAGAAATTTTGATTCGGTAGGGCGAGGGTATAAGGGAGTCAATTGCCTCACAACTTTATGTTAAAATATCTCATTTGTTTCAAAATTGGCCCTTAAAATACTACTAACAAAGACGAGTTTGAATGAAAATGGGGGCGGGGGCGGGAGGGAGTTGTCAGAATCCTATTCCTTCAAAGACTCATAACATTTATTTGAACACGATGGAGTTGTACACTATATATAGCATATCACAGCAAAATGCTGATACGGTCGTGTATCCTAAGTCCTAACTAACTGTTTTAGCTAATCCGTTAAACTAATTAACCTATGTGTTGAAAACAATAAATAATTAGTAAAAAAAAGTTGAGAAACTTTCCCCTCCCCCACCAGAAAAGGGAATTTCCGGCCGTTTTTGCACTGAAGCAAGTTTCGGCATTGATCCTGTACATCGGGAATATATGAAAAAACGGACTTCGCTTGCTGAAAATATTAATGAAATTCTTGAAAGTAATCAGTTCTGCATTGTTCCTAGTTAAAATCACCGCTTGCATGCTTTCGGGTTTGGACCAAAAACGACAAACAAATCTATAAGGGGAACAAAATTGTGCTAACCTAAGCTATTTTCATTGCTTCTCGCGCAGTCCATTCGATCGTGTTTTTCCCTACAATTAGGTTCTGTGGTATGTACGTTTTTCATTTCTCACAAGTTGTTTATTAAAAAAGTTACTATTAATCAATCCCAAATTTCTGGAAAATTATTGAAAATCACCTAGCGTGAACTTTCTCTCCTATCGTTATGATTTATTTTATTGTTCAAGATGCTTTTTTCCTCACCACCCTGAATTTATTGTTTGTTCATTTTCCAGAGTTTGTAATTTAAGCCCGAGTTAACCTTCGCACATAATGGGTAGTGATTCTGACAAGTTTGATTGCACCATACCGAGGAGCTCAATTACGATGTTGCAGTCTTGTGGCCTTATACTAAAGAAACTAGTACCTAATGCATTCCTTGGCGCGTTAGGGACACTGTATGAAAGTAAAGCCAAATTTGAACATCATATTTCCGTTGCAATTCCACAGTCTGGTTTTCATACAAATACGAGCAACAGTCAGAAGAAAACTAAGTCAAATGGTATGGCACCGCCAAACATGGCTGATCGACAGTCGATTTCCGAATTACTGAATTCTATATCTGAGATAAAAGTTGTGTTTTCAGAAGCTTTTCATTCATTAGATTTGTTTGAGAATTATATCAGAACGCCAGGCCAGGAAACTGCTAAACCTTTGAAATCGTTGTTTGACCGCGGGAAAAGTGCCATTAACGAGCTTTTTACACCAGAAAAAACTGACATCTTTTTAGATCTTTTGCGTACATTTTTAATTAATCAATCTTCCCAGGGCGACAATAGCGAAAGCAAAAAATATAAAGAATTTGTTCACGCAAGCTCCAGCCCTGTAAATAGAAATTTGAAAAACAATAATGATTTAGATTCTCAACCAAACAGTATTTCCAAGGAGGCATCCCAATTAGATTTTGAAAAAGAAAAATCGTGTCCTTCTTCACCGAAATTTGAAACCAACAAAACGAAATTTGAAAGCAAAAAAGTTGATGAAAACGAGAAGGGTAATAAACTAAGTAATGCTACGCAAAGTAATGATACAAGACACCCAGGAAGTATATCCGAAATACTTCAAGATAATTTGATGCAAACTTCGCAGGAACCAAAGGTGATGCATAAAAAGAAACCGGACACAATCCAGACTACGAAAGCGAAAGATTTCGTAAATTTGAACCAGGAGGCTTCAGGTAGTCAACTACGAGACAAAGACACCTTTCATTTACTGAAACCACCAGCTTTGATGAAGACAATGAAAAAACTGGAAGACGAAAATCTTTCTCTCCGAAAACAATTGGAGTCATTAGAAATTAAATTTCATGAATACGAAGATATTTTGGTTGAACTTGGACAAACCACTGTTGAGAAAACTGCGAAAATAAACGAGGAAAGAAAATCTGAACTCTTTCAGCGAATATTTCGTTCCCCAATATCCGAAGCTAAACGATCTGTTATGTCCATTGGCTACCCATATGACCATCAAAATGGTTATCAAAAAAGCTCTCGTGGTGTAAATACGTTCCCAAAACCTCAAATTAAAAGTGAAAGTGCAAACCCTCCACTACCTAATGATTCAGTTGTCCATCTACCTGCTTCCAGTGAACAACCTGTCAATGGGGCCGAAGCCTTAGTGCCAGGAAGTAAGCATCAACACGATGGAGAAAAGAAGATGAACACAGGAAACAAAGATGAAAGCGAATTTCGTGGAGAGAATCAAGAAAGGTCAGGGGTATTAACCATCAGGGATAACAGCGAAAACCAAATTTGGGCAACGCAAAACTCGTCAAGTATTACATATAGAAAAAAGACAAGTAGCAGAGAAGGAATCAGCCTTTACCGAAAAGTCAAGCACACTAGTGACTTGGTATCGAGATCCGGGCAAGGCTATGATGATTTATCAATCTCGATCGAACAAGATGATTCTGGAAGAGAAAGCATATCCCTGTGTAATGTACCACCTACATCAGTGGCAACAACCTTGTACAATAACTACAAGTTTCTGTTACTATCTCTTGGCCAAAGGCTGCTTTCCTCAGAGGTCGTGAAGCTAAGAGATTGGGTAACTCAGAATTTCTCAATCGACAATCCTCAGAATGCTACTGATGCTCTTGTTCAACTTGATCAAAAAGGAGTCATCAATGCTTCAGATTTGAGTCAACTCTGTGATTTCTTTGAGTCCATTGTCAGATTTGATCTTGTGTATATTATAGATGCATTTCTCCTTGGTGATTATAGTTTACTTCGCCAAATTCCAGCATCTAAACACCGAGATGTAAATAGGGCATACAACCCTCGACGCAGAGCCACTTCAAATTACCCAGCTTTGTTTAATGCGGTGAGTACCAGTCAATTGTCAAACAAACCAGCTGCTGACGGTACTTTACAAACCATTGGACTGATTGGAGGCAGAAATCCCGCAACTTCTAGCAAACCAGAAAAAAGCAATGGAGTACAAAACTCTGCCCTTCAACAAAAACAACAAGCGGCTTCAACCAATTCAAAACATTTCTCTAGATCTCCCAATGAACACCAATCCACGATCCCTGAGCAGCAAACCCTAAAACCTCTTGCAACTGGTTTTACTCCCATCAGAATGGCTGATGTAGTTGCTGCTGATGGTTCTGTTACAAGTAAGTGCACTTTATATTTTTAAGGTATAGGTATCTATGAAAAAATTAGAACGTTCCATTTGAGGCAGGGAGGGTGCAGAGATTATTGACTGCCATTTAATTAAGCTTGTCGTCTCTAAAGATGGAATCTGTTCTCCAAATGTCGAAACCTGCAACTGTAAAAAACTTTCACCTCTAATTGTGAAAAGCGCAATGGATGTAATAATTCAATGGATGCAGGTCTTATTCTGAATTTACATTCGTCAATTTATATTGGATTCTGCCTTTTGCACAACGAAACTTCAACTCCATTAATACTCGATTACGTAATATACAAATCCGTCGCTCCTTTTGTTGAAAGATGTCCAAATTATGCGTTTGCACGTGTCTTAACTATTAACTTTCATAGGATAGCCTTTACTGAATTAGCTGTATACAGTAGGAACGACGCTTTGATCTAAAACAATTGTCTCAGCAAAAATGTGAAGTGTAGTTTATTCTGGCAGAGAGTTTAGACCCTTTCAGGACAACAAAGACACACTGTGGGCAATAAATTAGAATGCAGGTCAAGGTCACATTTCTGTGTGACTTCCATTTAGATAACGTAGTTCAGTATCTGAAATTACATTGCAAGTTGGATTGAAAATGAGGCATTGTTCTAAGAATTTTCTAATTTAACCATAAAATGTTTTATATCCGTTGTTGTTTTGTGGAGCATTCCTCACTGCAGTAACAGCGCACGGATAAAATGAGATGGAGACCTGGACGTTTCCAACGACTACATATAAGTGCACATCGTGTTTTCTCCTACAGTCACACTAGCGAAATAAGAGGATGGTCCTCACCGGGCCTATAGGAATAAAGCTGTTTAGAGCCGATAGAATTCTCTTGTGGAAGGGTTAGAGGAAAAGTTTCCTATAATTTATTTTTACTGTTTGAAAAAACAGACGAAACAAGAATAATGACAAGAAATTCTTCCCCAAGAACTGATCCATCAGTGGCAAACAGCGCACAAAACACTCAGACAGTCGGTAGAAATGGTTTAAAACATTCCAAATTCCAACGTCAAGACACAGAACGGAGCAACGTTTCTAATTTTCAGTCCCCCAGAGGTTCTCGAAATCGGGACCTAGATGTAGCAAAAAATTGGTTATGCAGTCATTACAAACGGCATTGCTACGTCAAATTCGAATGCTGTGACACGTTTTGGCCGTGCCATCGTTGTCATAACAACCAAAGCACGTGTGGTCACAAGAGGCTCAAATCACGTGACACAAAGATGGTTAAGTGTGCATATTGTAACAAAGTGCAACAGGTAACGCAAATTGCTGTCTTATTTTAAGTTTGTAATTTCTATCGTAGTTTTATAACACAACTCATCAAGTTCATATTCGTAGGCTGAGTAAAGGCCTGCCCCATGGTGGTCTCCGATGGATAAAATTCATTATATTTTTACACTTTTCAAGTTCATATTTAATCTTGTTTTTTTATATATTCTTGGTGTTTTGGATTATTTTCATGTAATCACGGAGTTATATGCTGATTGATGATTTAAGATCATCAAACTTTTGCAACTTGGTCGAACCCGAAAACGCAAAAAAAATGCACAGCAACAGACCGTAGATTTTAAAATTTCTTCTAGAATGCCTCCGAATTCTCTTGCAGATTAACTGTATTATGTAATATAAATGGATACCCTGGAAGTTGCTAACAGATTTAGCAACAATAAAATATAACCAAACTATGAAATAGCAGAATTGAATAATACTTAAATGTGCTTCTGGGATTTTTTGGTTCCCGTGTGTGTGGAAAACAAGAGTTGCAAAACGTGCTCAGCGTTCCTCCGGGGAAAATTTCAATTTTTCAAACCTTGCTCAAAATAATGTGAATTATAGCATTTCCATATTGGGAAATGCATAAATTATGCCATTCAAAATTGGCATCTGATAAGTGTTTAGCCTTGATCAGTTGGTTGATCACATTGCATGTTATCGCCAGCGTTAGCAAATGTTGCAGCAGAAAACAACTGCTGCGATTTTGGTATGTTTAATAACAAACGCCAACAAAGACGTTGGAAACTTGTACATTTTACAGAATTTTTTTTCATTTTATTGTTTTCTCCTCAGTATTATCCAATGTGATAGTCATGTGGTATTGGTATACTATCACAGTAGTTACCAGCACAACATCAGCATCCTGCCAACCTCGACCTGTCTAGTATAATTTATTTGTTTAGTATTAGTGTTGAGCAGAGTGTTCCGCATTAAACTTTCCTCACAGGTGGTACCCGCATACCCGCAGCTTTTTGGGAACCCTGGTCAGTCATGATTTGCGTTCAATCATAGTTGTTTCAAAATATTCAGTAAATTCAAACCAACATATCAAAACTGTTGCTTTTACTATTTAGTTCGGTCAATTTTGCTGCGATTGTGGTGCACAATTTTCTGAGTATTACTGTGGATTGTGCAAACATTTAACTGGCAAAGATGATCATCCCTATCATTGTGAAAGATGCGGAATCTGCAGGTATGACTTGGTTAGCTTACATAACACTGTCTTGTCCAATGCAGAACATGATTTAATTACTGTTTTTTTGAAATGCATTTAATGAAAGATTCATACTATATAAAACAAATGGGGTTGATAGTAATGACATGGTTAATCAATCTCTGCTTTTCTCCTTTCCGCTTTTCACCTCTGAAAAACGAACAATATGTGGTTGTCTCATCATAACTGCGCTTCACTTGCATTTGAGAGGGTGATTCCAGTCTTTGGCTTCCTTTACATTTTGGATGACAACAAAACAAAGTTATTATCTCGCAGGAAATAATTATTTACAAAATTAAGCGAAGGAAAACAAAGCAAAGCAAAGCAGAGCAGAACAGAACAGAACAGAACAGAACAGAACAGAACAGAACAGAACAGAACAGAACAGAACAGAACAGAACAGAACAGAGCAAGGCAATGCAAAGCAAAGATTAGACGCGAAGTGAAGGTTAGACAAAGAGCTTACAAACCATGGCAAGAAATGAGGGACAGTCAGCGACATATACTGCGGGCGCAGAAATTCGCTAAATTCTGCAGCGTCAGCATAATACAGCCAGACATTAAAGGCATCTCAAGCGAACTTCGCCACTTCGGAGCTAATTTTATATCAGTTAAAGACTGTGGAAACTATTTCCTTATTTACAATCTTTTAATTGAATGAACACAATAGTTTCTAAGTCCAAAACTACAAAAGTACATCAAAATATAGTGAATTTCACCGGATTTAAATTTGATTTTGGCGCGATTTTTTCCCTATTTTGGAGCCCCCTGTCCTTTATAAACAACAATCAGCGGTTGTACGTACAAGTGTTTTCAAAATGGTTGACAAGAACCCACGACGCCGCTCTTAAAACGTTCATAGTTTTGGGATTTCGCAGTGCTTTGTCCAAAACACTTGGTATTAGCTTACAGATCTCATGAAATACACGCTATTTTAAATGCGTTTGGCGGAGCGCGTACAACCTAAGATGAATCTAAATCAATACAAAAGGAGAGATCAACTGTCGTACAAGAAATGTAGACGTAAACAATTTGTCTTCGATCTCTTGGAGCAACACTACACTGGCCTTAACTTGGTCAACAATGGGGATTTTACTTTACTTAATAGGAGTTTACATTGCGAGATTATACTGTAAAATTGAGTTACTCGGGCGGAATAATGGCAAATCGTGACACGTCAAGAGTTTCAGGGAATACTCGTCGAGGTATTTTGTACATTTCTAGACGTAAACACTTTGAAAATTATATTTTGTTTCAGCATGCGCATCGCATTTGTATGATTATAGTATTAATTCTTAGCATTTCCGCCATCTTGAATTCGCAAAATTGGTCAGTTGTGCGC